TAATTTATTTGACAGAGAGAGAGTGAGAGAGCACAGCAGGCAGAGCAGCAGGTAGAGGGAGAGGGAGAAGTGGACTCCCCACTGAGCAGAGAGCCCAGAGGTGGGGCTTGATCCCAGCACCCTGGGATCATGATCTGAGCTGAAGTCAGATGTTTAACTGATTGAGCCACACATGCACCCCTTATTTTTGCCCATTTTTTAACTGGGTTGTTTGTTTTCCTATTGTTGAATGTTAAGTATTCTTTGTATATTTTGGATACTAGTCCTTTATTAAATATGTGCTTTGCAAGTGCTCTCTCCCAGTCTTGGCTTGTTGTTGCATTCAGTCAATGGTGTCTTTGCAGAGCAGATGTTTTAAGTGTTAATGAAGTCTACCTTATCGACTCTTTTCTTTTCATGGATTGTGCTTTTGATGTTTTATCTAAAACGTCATCACCAGGGGCACCTGGGTGGCTCAGTGGGTTAAAGTCTCTGCCTTCGGCTCAGGTCATGATCTCGGGGTCCTGGGATCGAGCCCCGTGTCAGGGTCTCTGCTCGGCGGGGAGCCTGCTTCCCTTCCTCTCTCTGCCTGCCTCTCTGCCTACCTGTGATCTCTGTCTGTAAAATAAAATATTAAAAAAAAAATAAAAAAATAAAAAGTCATCACCAAACCCAAGATCACTTAGAATTTTGCCTCTATTGTCTTACTAGCAATTTTATAGTTTTGTGTTTTATGTTTAGGTCTTCGATACATTTGAGGATAATTTTTGTGAAAGATATGAGATCTGTATCTAGATTAATGTGGGTGTGTCCAATTTGTTAAAAAACTATCCTTTCTCCACTGAACTGTTTTTGTTCCTTTGTCAAAGGTCAGTTAACCATATTTGTGTGAGTCCCTTTCCGAGCTCTGTTATGTCCCGTTGATCGATTCGTCTTTCACTAATCCCACTGTCTTGATTATTGCAGCTTTATAGTAAGTCCTTTTTGAATAGTAAGTTTTGAAGTCTGCTTGTATCACCACTGCCTTGGTTCTCTGATAATATCGTGTTCATTTAGTGCATGTTTTTTGATCAGTACATTTTTCTACTAAGATGAGTTATTTTGTTGGGTAAATAATGGTAACAGTACTAATAATAATGTTAAATAATGGTAACAGTAAAAGTAATAATGTTTAATATGGCTTATCTCATTTGACCCTCTAACAACTTTACATGATGTGCATAGTGACTTTCATCTGCCCGTGGCTCTGTCTGTGGGTCTGTCCATCTATTCTATTATTGACACCCAAGCCCAAAGTCATGCCCAAGGACAGATATATACTAAGGAAACTGCTTGGGTTGAGAGTCTGGCTCTGTCACCTTAGTCAGCACTGTATCATCTCCCATATTTACAGATAAATGTATTTATGTCAGACTCCATATGGGGAGAGAGAGAAATAGATATCATCTAGATAGATCAGAGCCAAGATTGTGGTTTCAAACTAGTTTAGGGCTGGAGGAAAACACAGACAACAGAGCCCAGCTGCCCCCACACTGGCCGCCAGGTGTTTGACCACACGCAAGAGCCTTCGCAGGCAGTTTGGCTTCTCCTGCGTCTTCCAGGTACTTCTTGTTTGGGATATTTCCTAAGTGGTGATCAAATTAATGTAATAATAATTTAAAATTGCATATATTTTCTTCTTTTCTTGCTCAATGCCACAACTCATTCCATTCCTCTTGCCTGTTTATGGAGACAGAAGAATCCCACCTTCATGGTGAGCCTTTTTTTTTTTTTTTTAATTAATTGTCTTCCCAGATAGTTCGGTGGGCCCCTTCGGTTGAAGGCTTACCCTGACTATGTGCAAACAGATAGAGGCAGTATGAGGGAATGACAAAGCTTGTGGAGTCCTTACAGTCCTGGATCCTGAGCTGGGTCATTCATGAAGCTTTCTGGTCTCCATTCTTAGGTGGAGCTTCCCTTCTCAGGGGAGGTTGCCCAGGCTTTTCCAGAATCATTTCTTTCTTTAATGGAAGAGATAAGCCAGGCAGAGTAAGGTTCCCTTCACCCCCAGGGAATAACTGGCTTCTTTAGAGACCTCTTGTCTGGAAGACATCCAACATGCTAGACTTTGTCCCAACCACCAATGATCTCTTCTGGGAGTTTCCTCCCACCAAGACACTCAGTGCCTGTCTCCAGCACTGTAAGAGCTACTTCCAGTAGTGGTGCCTGTTGTGTGTCAAACATTGTACAGGATACCTTATAAACATAATCTTCATAATGACCTTATGAGCTGAATATAATTATACCCGCTTCCTAGATTGGAAAACAGGATTCTAAGTCATTTGTAGAAGGTCACACAACTGGAAAGAGCAGGTTGTCTTCCAAACCCTGGCCGACCTGACTGCGTTGCTCACCTTAAATTCTCATCTTCATCTCCAAGTTCATTTCTTATTACATCAAGTCTTGCCCTCTGATTCTAAGAATGACTCTAATAACCTGTAGTTGCTAGTTTGATGGAGCAACATCCTGTGTTTCTAGCAATATGTTCTCCTTGTGGCTAGCAATACATTTTTGAAAAAGAGCTTATCTATCCTAGTGACTGATATAGGAAACAGTGAATCTAATTAGATTTTGTGAAGCCAGGCACTTGAAGCTTTGGCTTGAGGGACAACAAAATTTAAATGAGTGAGCTAACTGAGAAATCAGACTCAGCATTGAGCCATTCAGTAACTTACTTACGTATCTTAAATTTGTTACTTGAAAGATCAGTTAATTTCACCCCCCCCCTTAAGAATTCTTGGCTTAAAGGATTTACACAGTTTCTAAAGCGTCTGCATTAAAACGGGGGAAGAGCTGGTGTTTTGGGAGAACTTAACACCTGTCTCATTGTGTTTCAAGTTTGTAAAATTATTGGATTGGAATAGGGTATTTTGAGTACTATACATAGAGCAAAAATGTTTCTAAGCCTTTTCATATTAAGAATGTTGGAACTCTTTTCTCTGTCCAATTGGATTCCAAATTCATGGAGTTATGCCCCTGATATAGTACATGGCACTGCCTTAGGTCTTAGTAAACAGTTGTTCTTTGAATAAGAGTAAGTTAGTTTAATGTTACTTTTCAAAGTTTTTATGCTCACTTTTTTTTTTTTTTTATAAGGCAATCCCTTTTCCTCCAACCTGCCCCTTCCTCCAACCTGCCTTGGTTGGGAATGCTTGTCCATGGACCTAAAAAGCATGTCTAGGAAATGGGTTACTGCTGGATGTTAAAAACTTGTGCACTCATTAATTTAAGACACCCCTGGGAGCCCCATCTCACGCCTGCCGTGCAGAATCACATTCAGGTTTATTCCTAGGTCCCAGTCTCATGTCTTCTGAATTGCTTATTTGGATACAAGGGTGTCCACTTTGTTGAATTCTAGTCTCCTCAGCCTCTTTATATATTCTTAATATGTAAGAACAGTCAATACCGCCAAGTCAAGAGAAACTTAAAGGTTACGCCTGCCACTTCTCTGCAGCATCGCACGGCGGTCTTCTGGAGGCTAATGTTTAGTAATGCCCACTCTGAACCTGAGTTCTATGAGGAACATCTGGGCATCACGAGATTCCTTCTGTCAGTACGTTTATTTGCTGTGTGTGCCGCCTGTCTCAGGCGATGTGCATTGGCTGTTTGGTTGCATCTGCTTGAGGCTTAGAGGCTGTTTTACATCTGTCCGTCTTTGCCTTTATTGCTGTAGAGGTCATGATTATTCTGGGGGAGCTAGTGAAATCAGTCTGAGCTTTCATTTCTCCTTGAGTTTGAAATTTAGAGGGAGAGAGGGCAAGAATGTGTGGCTTTTGTAACTACAAAGTGTCATCTAGATCTTCGGGTGCTACATCGTGAGAGAGAATTTAAACTTAGTTTACAAGTGTTAATGCGTCTTGAGCTATGGCTGTCAAAAAGTACACCTGTGGAAGTATGACGTTTAGATAGGTAGCCTAAAAAGACCTACACCTAATGGGAATTAATCAAAGCAGTATTTTTCCAAACTCACCTTTTCAAGTTCTCCTTACTGGTTTTGCTCATATGTGCTTCTGATCTGCAGGCGATTTTTAAAAAATTTTTCATTGAATTGATTCAGTAAGCCTGGTACCTAATTTATCTCCCACTTAAGCAATAATATCAACGAAATCACCAGTTTGTGGGGCCAGTTACTTGTATTTATAAGGAATGTTACAGTAAACACAGAGCTTTGAACAACGACGAAAGGATTGACAGAATTAAAACCACCTTGATAATCCTCATTTATGTTACCCCCGCCTGAGATCTGCTGGTTAGGGACGCACGTTGGGGCCTACATTGAGCATATTGTGAACCGGAAAGGAGTGGAGCCTTGCACCGAACATCATCGTTTTGGGATAAACCTTGGCTTAAGGATATTACATAAAGGATGTCAAGGACTCCTTACCCCTCTGTTTTCCTTTCTAGGAACTGTTGCCCAGAACTTTTTAACAGGGAAATACAGAACACAGGGGTGCACGCAGCAGGAGGAATGCGTTATAAGGCGGCAGAACGGCTCGGTCTGGTCCACAGGAGGAAGGCAGACGCGGTTTTCTAGATCAGGGAGTAGTTTCTTGCCGCGACTGCACAGGGAGCTGGGAAAGCGGTGCCCAGTCCGAGCCTCTGCTTCTGTAGCGGCTCCTTCGTGTGGCCTCTTGGCTGCGCTGGCGTCCAGTTTTGCTGTGGGGCCCTCGACGGCTGTCCGGGGAGAATGAGCAGAGAGAAGCGCAGGGAGCTCGGACCGCTGGCACACAGTGCTTCGGTGTGACACCTGTGCCATCGTGAAAGGGACAGGGAACAGCAAAACCAAGTGCCAGCTCACGAGGAGGTGAAGGAAATCAGTGGCTCGCTCGCCGCCTGGAAGCAGCGGCACCACTGCCCATAGTGCTGACCCACGGGGTTCGCGCTTATGATCCAGATCGGGATGAGGCGGGCGGGCCGGGACGTGGGTCTCTCCCGCACTGGGTCACCCCGATTCTCTGCCTTCTCGCAGGTCCTGGAGCAAGATGGGCAATGGGTCGGTGAAACCCAAGCACCCCAAGCACCCCGATGGCCGCGCGGGGCCCCCGGGGGTGCAGGCGCTGCGGGCCAGGGTGGCCGAGCTGGAGAGCGAGCTGCGGCGGAGGGAGGCGGACGTCCAGGAGCGCGAGTACCAGCTGAAGGAGCTGCGGGAGCAGCTGGCCAAGCAGACGGCGGCCGTGGCGGAGCTCACGGAGCAGCTGCAGGCCAAGTGCGTCCAGCTCAACCAGCTGCAGGACGTGGTGCGCTCACAGGGCGGCGGCGCGCCGCAGGCCTCGCCCGGGAAGGCGCCGCTGGACGTCCACCGCGAGGCCTCGGGCTTGGTCTCCCTGCACAGCAGGCGGGGGGCAAAGGCCGGGGTGTCTGCGGAGCCCACGAGCCGGACTTACGACCTCAACAAGCCCCCGGAGTTCTCCTTCGAGAAGGCGAGAGTCAGGAAGGACTCCAGGTGAGGGGCGCGCGCTCCGGCCGGGCAGGGCGGGGCGTTCCTCCGGCCGCTTCGGGGAAAGGGGACACGACCCCTCTCGGATGTGGACACAGGGGGCCTCCAGCGTGGGTGGGTCCTGGAGAAGGGCCCCTCGAAGCTGAGCTCCCCTTTCCACGGGGGAGGCGCTCAGCCGGCCCTTGGGATGCGTGTACCCGGGAGCTGAGCTCGCGAAGGTCACGTCGGTCATCCTGAGCGCCCCGAGGGCTGCGTGGAGGGGGTCCCAGGAGGCCTGCCCGCCGGAGTAGGCTTGGATGCGGGCACGGATCACCGTGCATGGTCAGTGTGCGGGCTCAACCCTGCTGCCCGCACCGACGGTAAGCGTCAGGGAAAGGAAGAAGTGGGATCCTCAGAGGGGGGCGAATTCGTGCTCACCCCATGGCGCGGGCGGAGCACCACGGCCCGCCGCTGTGTTAGATGCCCGGCGGGTGTTAGCGCGCAGACAGGCGCAGAGCCTTCCTGGGGGAGACCGCCGTCTACACAAAGACCAGCGGACGCGGGGTAATTACTAACTGGGATAAATGGTATGATGGGACCAACGGGATCAGTATCGTGCTGGTGTCTGCAGTCCCGGGAGAGAAAGGCAAGAAACAGCACAACTGGGGTTGTCCTGGAGGCCTAGCTGACGAGGTGATCTTTACCTCAGGCCTGAAGGAGGAAAAAAAAAGCCTGGATGGGGTGGAAAGGGCATTTCAGGTGGAGGGAACAATCAAAAGAATGAATTTGGAAAATAAAGATGTTTATTAAGAAATTATAAATGTTGATGATAGCCTTCTTGTACGTGCGTGCATGTGCACGTGTGTGTGTACATTTCTTTTCCAACTGAAGGTTGGGTTTCCCAAGCTGGGAAGACTGACTAGAAACAACCCAAGTTAGGGTCTCTTTTCTGTATTATTTTTAAGTGAATGAACATTTATTAGTTGAAATTAAATCTTTCACCTTGATAACATCTTGGCTGAGCCTGGAACTCTTGAGCAAAATGCAAGATTTGTGAATCTAAAACAAATTTTAACTTATTCATAAACACAAGTCATATAAATCAATGTAAAACATCTGACTTAAACAAATAAATGATTAATTTTGACAACAGAATTACAAAGGGAGGTTTAATTTATCAATTTGTTGACAGTCACATAGTGCGTGATCAATAAATATTTGCTAAGGAAACAAGTCACACTGGGTTATTAATCATAATACTCTGTGGCTGAAAGAAATCTGATTAATATTAGAGTTCAGAAGAGTTTGCTGTTAAAAAAAAAAAAAGGAAGAGTTTGTTGTAAGCCAAGGCTTTTATTATCAGTTGGTTTAGGAAGGTTGTATCTACTCCCTTTGCAAAACTAATATTTATTTTTAATGGTGTGGATTTGTGGATTTGTGCTGGAAATCATCTAATCTTCTCTTTTGATATAACAGATATTTGCATATATAGTAATATTACATATTATGTAGTCTATTATTATATGTATGTAATAAGCACAGTATATTATTTGTCCCACCAAAAATCTTTCAAATAGGAATGTTCTTATATATCTAAGAGAAGCATCAGAGAATTTAATAGCAATTCATCTTCTTTGACCTGCCCCTACATATTCTACCAGATTTCTCTTGAGCAGAAGTTGTGTTCATTCTTTTGTTCCAAAGACTTGTCCATCTTGAGGCAGAACACCATTCTCCTGGTGTTAGGGAACTGGACCATCCAAGTTAGGGAACTGGACCAAACATATTCCTTTGTATAAAATTTCTTTCTTTGTATTTCTTTATTAACTCTTTTGTAATCAGGAAAAGAAATCAGTAGTTAGGTGCAGTCAGTTTCTGAGCCAAACCACCTGTCTATAGTGAGTGGGACACAGGAGGGAAAACATTAGAGCTCTTGAATGAGGACTAAAAACGACTCTCTTCATTGTAAAGGCAAGCCATGGGTACAAGTCTACGTTGAGGCCATGATGAAGAAGTAGGCTAATGGCTTTTTTTTGTTTGTTTTTTGTTTTTTTTAATGAATAAGTCCTGAAGAGACCAAACTAGATCATCCCTGTCCTAATGTTCCCTCATACACTTCCAGAAAACATGTGGCTCTAAATTGAAAAAAAATAATTAGAATTCGGGGACCATCCATTCTTTTTTCATGGATTGGTTTGTGCCCCAGGTTCCCTTGCAGCAGTTTTTGCCTCAAGTTTTCTTGCGATCTCCCTTGCAGATGTCTTTCTTTTTAAGTTTGGAACAACCGCCTAAATATAGAGGCTAACATCGTCACGTCAGAGACTTTAATTTCCAGCTTTTTAAAAATCAGTCAGCATTACAAATCATTTCCCAGTTTCAAGTAGTTCTAGTTTTAGAGAAAAGCCTCAAGTAAACTTTGGATATTATTATATATCTTTCACAGAGTCTACCAAAAATCTTGCGAGAAACAATTTTCTAGGAGCGAGAGCATTAGAAAAGAGGGGAGCGTCTTTAATTGATAAGAGGATGGCACTCGCTGGCTTAGCTACTTTTCCAAGCAGTTACTGGCGATATTAGAGAATTTAACGTATCCGTCAACATGTTTCCTTCATTGATTTTGAGGTTCTCATGACTTATTTGTTGAGCTCTATAAAGTTTCTTGGCTGATTTTATGACTGAACTTGTTCCTACTGATAAGTGGCAACAACATTTTGGAGTCCCTGCTTCCACACCAAGTCAGAAAGCCACTGAACGGCTTTTTGGTCTTTTTGTCAGCAAGAATGTGTCCGATGAGTACCGGACTTAACAGTGAGCAGGAAAGTGAGGGGAGATTCCCAGCCCTCTTGCCGTCAACAGCGCTAGGCATATACGATGTACCTGCGGAAACCGTGAGATAACACTGGGGGACGACAGATTTGTGACCTGAAGATTCAGATTCAGTAATTCATGAGAAACTGGAAAGCCCAGCCCCGGTACTCTGTGAGCTTGCTGGGGCCCGTGCTCAAGGTTATTGTAAACGACAAGTGAACCTCACTAACGACCAGACAGCCCACTTATGCCAGCTTTGCTGTCCCGTACCCATCAAGTGTTCCCGTGGGGCTTGAAGGGGGAACTTAAACTGTATAGAGGAACAATGTATGTACTGTAGTGGTGCTGGGAAACTCTTAACTCAGTGCTATTTGATAGGACTTTCTGCAGTGGCGGATGTGTTCTATAATCTGTGCTGCTCAGTGTGGTAGCCAAGAGCAAAATGGGGCTGTGAGCACTGGAACTATAGCTAGTGCCACGGAGGAATGGAATATTTATTTTAATTAACTTTATTTTATTTTTTTAAAAAGATTTCATTTATTTATTTGCAGAGAGAGAACAAGAGAGTAAGAGCAGTATTACAAGTGGGGCGAGTGGGAGAGGGAGAAGCAGGCTTCCCAATGAGCAGGGAGCCCAACGTGGGCCTCGATCCCAGGACCCTGATCATGACCTGAGCCAAAAGCAGAGTCTTAAACACTGAGCCGCCCAGGTGCCCTGTTTTAATTAACTTTAAAATGGAATAGCCACGTGTCTGGTGGTTACTGTATTGGATGTTGCAGTTCTGGATTACGTAGTATGCTTTAACCGAAGTAGAGCTGACGCACAATGTTATGCTAGTTTTAGGCGTACAGCGTCGTGATTCGACCACTCTAAGGAATGCTGTGCTCACCTGAAGCGTAGCTTCCATCTGTTGGGTCTATAGGACTATTACAATACCAGTGACTATGTCCCTACGCTGTGCCTTTCATCCCTGTGGCTTCCTATTTCCAGAACTGGAAGCCTACACTCCACACCCCCCTTCATCCAGCCCCCATCATCCTCCTTTTCAGCAATTACCAGTTTATTCTTTGTCTTTATGAGTGTGTTTCTGTTGGTTTGTTCTGCTTTGTTTTTTAGAGTCTGCATATAAGTGGAATTATATAGTATTTGTCTTTCTCTGTTAACTTATTTTACTTAGCACAATACCCTCTAGTTCCATCCATGTGGTCACAAACGACAAAATCTCATTCTTTCTATGGTTGAGTAATATTCCGCTGCATACAGACACACCACAGCTTCTTGATCCATTCATCTGTTGATGGACACTTGGGTTGCTTCCATGCATTGGCTGTAAATAAGGCTGCAATAAACATAGGGATGTACGTATCTCTTAAAACCAGTGTTTTCATTTTCTTTGGGTAACTACCCAGGAGTGCGATTACTGGATTGTGTGCTGTTTCTGTTTTAATGATTTGAGGAACCTCCACACCGTTTTCCATAATGGTTGCACCAACTTACATTCCCACCAACAGTGCACTAGAGTTCCTTTTTCTCCGCATCTTGGCCCACATTTGTCATTTCCTGTCTTTTTGATACTAGCCGTTCTGACGCGTGTAAGGTATGATCCCTCATTGTGGCTTTGATTTGCCTTTCTCTGATGATTGGTGATTTTGAACATCTTCTCTTGCGTCTGTTCGCCATTTGCAAGTCTTCTTTAGAAATTGATTGTGTGTTTTTGACTGGAACTGCTATTTCCTGAGATGGGAATTATGACCTAGAGAAGTTTGGCAAAAGTATGTATACAACATAGGACTCGTATTTGGTTCCAGGACAAAGCCACAGCAAATGAGAATGTGCTTGTCAGACGGAGGTGAGCACAATGTGGGATCACTCTTAAATGGCACTGAACCTGCAGTGTATCATGGCCTTTTGTAGCGACTTGGCTTTGTATCCACTGACCATTTTTGACTTCAGAGGCATACAACTATGTGGGCACAGAGCCAGTTTCTATTACAGGTACTTAGCCTTACTGAAGTATCATAAATTTTGATGAGTCAGAGCACTACGGTGTATCAGGTGCTCTGATTTCTGACTTAAATTTATTATGGCAAACAGCTGGGGATTTAGAGCTGGAAGAACCTTTACCGCAGAAGAGGGGAGACAGGCAGGGGAGTTGCCGAGTATGTCACGGTAAGTGGCAGGGCTAAGTTTAGGACCCAAGATTCTTGACCTTGAAAGCA